ACAATGATGACTCTCATTCTCCTAACTCTGAAAGAGTCTTGAATATGGCCCTTTTTTAAAAATCTCAGAGCTAGGACAAAGGAGACATTACTGGGTCCTGCTCGAGGCAATCGACGAATAACAGGATGGTCGTGATCGTGAAAGTTGGGAAGAAGAAAAGTAATATTTCCTTCTGAAAGATAAAAAATTTGAATAATGAAAAGAAAACAGACTATAAAAAATGCAATACCTTCCTTATCAGTATATATAACAAAAGCAATTAGAGTCATAATTGCAACAGGATTAGGGTATTTAGGCAGTTTTGTACTTAAATGTATCAATAATGGGAAACATAACAACATACATAAAACATACTCAATATCATTTGTAACTGGGAAACACAATGAGACACACACTCAACGAAAGGCTGTAATGAAAATAGAGGGCCAGGAAGACAGAGTGATATTACAGTAAGTAGGGCACTTTCCTTGCATGCACCCAACCCAGGTTTGACCTCCAGCAGCCCATAGGTGGGAACACTGCCAGGAGGAATTCCTGAGTGCAGAGCCAGTAATAACACCTGAACATCATAGTGTAGCCTAAAATCCTAAAAAGGAAGGAAGGGAGGGAGGAAGGGAGGGAAAGCAGGAAGGAGGGAGGGAGAGAGGGCAGGAGGGAAGAAAGAAGGGACAAAGGGAGGGAGAGAGGGAGGGGTAGAGGGAGGGAGGGAGGGAGGGATGATATGAAAAAGCAAATGAGGGCTAGAGAGATATCTCAACGGTTTATAGCATGAGCCTGGCACACTCTGGGCTCCAGGTTGGATCACTGGCATTTCATAATTCCTAAGCTCTGCCACTCCGGTGGCCCCTGAACCACAAAAAAGCATAGCCCTGGAATCCACTAGCACTACTGGACCTAAGAAACACGTCAGCCATCAGGCCTATACCACTAATCTTTGTATTCCTGGGAATGACCTTAGGGCTCCTAAATTCTTGTGGAGCTGCCCTCTGCAACCCTCCCCAAACCGCCCCCTCCTCTAGCCAGTTAGTAAAATTAAATTGACCATCAACACCATATGCTGATAAAAGGGTGATTAAACAGCAGATTTCCCACATTGTTGGTGAGAAGGCAAAGTAATACAATCGCTTGGAGAAAAGGTTTAATTTCATTTTAAAACCAGGAATTTGGCTCAGATAGCTAAAACAAATGTGAGAGTCCAGGTTCAACCCCAGCTCTGCATCTTCCCACAGCACTGCTAGGAGCAACAGAGTACAGACAGGTGAGCACAGCATGGTTCCCAAACTAAAGTGTCCACTCCCCCACCCCCGGCAAAAATAATAAGCATATAACTACCTCATAAATTTTAGAAAGATACAGTAATTTAGCATGACGATGATATAATTGGCTAAATTTGAGTAGAGAGATCTGCAGAGAGAAAGGGAAAAAAACCAATTCACTTGCTGTTAGAGTTAATATTGTCTGAAATAAAAGAACTCTAGTGCATTATGTAAAAGTTCAATTGAAGAAAAATATCGGAAAAAATCATTTAAAAACTAGTATCTATAATGACCATGATCCAGAGATGCGCAAATAAAGCTCTCAGAAGAAAGCAACATAGAACAATATGCTGCAGAGATACCGCCAGACCCCCAAATCACCATTCAGTTAAAAAAAAGATTAAAATAACCTCAGATGTATGACTATATTTAAAATTTTAGAATTCCTGGAGCCTATGACCGCTGCATGTTGCCAATCTCTTATACAAGGGCTTACTGGCTCCAGGGTGAAATACAACAATCTTCACACACTTTTCTCTAAGGAAAATTTTTTGGATCAGTTTTAGCATATTATTCATAACAAGCAATACAAATTAAATTATTTAAGTTCTGCTTTGGGGCAGGGTTTGAGGATCAGGGTGGAAACATTTGAAATATGGTGGTGGATAGGCGTAATGGTTGTGGGATTGATGCTGGGATAGTAAATGTAACAAATTATTGTGAACAACTTTTAAAGATAAAGTAATACTAAAAAAGTAATATGCACAGTGAAAGTCTATGTAAATAAAATGTTCAAAATTTGCATTTTTAAACAGTTATGTTAACTATTTAGTCCCAGTTCTACTATTGAATGCGTTCAAAGTTCACCCCCACTTCTTTTGAAGTTCCTTTGAACATCTTTTGGTTGGGTGAACTTTGTGCTTTGGAAGAAGCTTAGTGAATTCTAAAAGAAATAGTAATATTACCTTTGTCCTTGAACTATCAGAATTTTTTTCTTATAACTTTGACACTTAATGGTAATTTGATTTAGCATCCCTGACTCAAACTTCCTTTTCTTAAAGGTATTGTTCCATTTCTGTTAGCGCACACTGTAACTGAGCCAATTTTCTTTTTTTTCCCCCTTAGAACAACACAGTATCTTTTTTTATCAGATGTCCAGAGTTTGCTACTAGTGCTAGCAAGACATTTAGTGTTTGATGGATATCTGTTGTAGGATTTCTTGGTACTGATTATTCCAGAATAGTTTCCTCAAATCCTGGATGTTCTTTTTTTTTTTTCGGTCACACCTGGCGATGCACAGGGGTTACTCTAGGCTCTGCACTCAGGAATTACCCCGGCAGTGCTCAGGGGACCATATAGGATGTATGGGATGTTGGGGATCAAACCCGGATTGGCTGCGTGCAAGGCAAACGCCCTACCCTCTGTGCTATTGCTCCAGCTCCCTGGATATGTCTTTTAACGTAAAAATTCAGTTTTATTTCAGATCATGGTCTCCTGTTTGTTTTTGAATTTATTTTTATTAAAGCACCAGGATTTACAAAGTTATTCATTGGTGGGTTTTAAACATACCGTGTCCAGCACTGATTTCACCACCAGTGTCAACTTCCTTTCACCAGAATCCCCAGGTTTCCTCTCCTACCCTCACCCCTACCACAGCCTGTCATCCTGTCAGGCACAAAGTTCGGTTGTTAAGTTTGGGATGTATGATTTCAGGGCTATTGATTCTGTGGTTTAGATATTTGGCTCTATCATTCCTTAATATCACCAATGTAACTGAATCCCCTTGCCCCTTGCCCCCTGTTGCTTCTCATTTATCTTCCCCAGTTCCCTATACTCTCTCACCACCTCTCACCTCCCGTCATTCAATTCTTTTCTTCTCTTCCCTATACTCTGGGGCCAAGCGTGATCTAGGCATTCCTCTCCTTTAAGTTATTGCATTTCTTCATCCAGTTACGCTATATATGACTTATAAGCAATGTTTCTTTTACTTTATCCATCTGCTTTACTTCTGAGTAGAACAACTCCAGTTATCCAGTTATTTGTATTTTGGAACATTTTTACCATTCTCTGTCACTATCACTATCACCCCATTGTTCATCAATTTGCTCGAGTGGGCAGTAACATCTCCATTCTTCCCTGTCACATGCTAGTGTACCCTGATGGCATATTGGGAGCTCTTTCAGGATCAGAGGAATGAGGACCATCATTGTTACAGGTTTTGGCATATCGAGCACTCCATGAGTAGCTTGCCAGGCTCTGCCGTGTGGGTGGGATACTCTCAGTAGCTTGCCGGGCTCTCCTAGAGGGATGGAGGCTTTTGGGACAGCCTCTAATCACCTTTACCGATGTTCCTAGTAATGTATATATGCAGGCAGGATACTCTCAGTAGCCTGCTGGGTTCTATGAGAGTGAGAATTAGAGAATAAGAGGTCGCATGGCTGCAAATGCAGCAGTGTGCTTCCGGGAGCTTGGTTTATAGTCTCTGGATCCTGGCCGTTGATGGGGTTACATGGCAGTTGGTGGGTGTAACTGTCTAGAGACTGGAAGATGGGGGGCCTGGGTGGAGGAGACCCAGTTCCAAAGAGAGCAGGCTCGGATATCTCAGCCCCAGATCCCACACATCGTTTCTCTGCCGATTCCTTCATGCGTGAGACTTGTCTGAGTGTGTGGAGAGTAGTCTCAGTATGGCTGTGGCTGGGTCTCGGTGGTCTTCAGCTGTCTTCACTTATCTTTTACAAGTTTTATTTTTTCTGTTTTTTCTTTTTGGGTCACAGCCGGCGATGCACAGGAGTTACTCCTGGTTCATGCACTCAGGAATTACTCCTGGCGGTGCTGGAGGGACCATATGGGATGCTGGGAATCGAACCTAGGTCGGCTGCGTGCAAGGCAAACGCCCTACCTGCTGTGCTATTGCTCCAGCCCCTTTACCTGTTTTTTTTTTTTTATAAAAATAAATTTTGTGACACTAGGGAGATAGCTCAAAGGGTCTTGCATACAGGAAACCTGAGTTCAACCTCTAGTGCCCCATGGTCCTGCCTCCACCCTAGAGCAACACCCAAGCCTCACTGAATGTGATCATACACACTTGCTTATTTCCCTTTTACTTTCTTCACTTTCTCCATGTGCTTACTCTGTATTCTGCTGTGCTTTCTGTATTAGCTAGTTCCCTAATCTACCTTGAAAGTAATTAATAATTTTGTTTGTTTGGAACTATACCTAGTGATATGCAGGACTTACTCCTGGTTCTGTGCTGTGGGATCACTCTTGGCAGTGCTCAGGGCATTATATGTGGTACCAGAGATGGAACCAGGGTCGGTTGTATATGCAAAGCAATGATATTAACCCCTGTGCTATCTTTCTTGACCCAGAAGCTTAAAATTTAGTCCTTTTTGCAAACGGTTGTGTTTCTCCTGTTTCTTTCCTAAAATCAGTTGCCGTTTTATGTTCTTATTCATTGACCTTCCTTTGTTGCCCATTTCTTCTCTGAGTTCTTGTATTTTATTGTGTTTAATTGTCTTTCTATTTGGAATAACACTGTCATTTTAACCCTCCTTCATGTTGGATGGGCAGTGAGTCCAGAGCTAGGAGTAAGTCCTGTGCATCAGAGTAGTGATGAAAAAAAAAAAGAAAAGAAAAGAACTTATTTTCATTTTATTGTTCTACTACAAGAGTGCATGGCTTTCTAATAAACGTTTTGTTTGGGGGGTAAAGAAAATAGTTCAAAATTCAATAGACTTTGGGGCCTTCTACAAAGGAAAAGACATGTGTTTGCTTCAGATGTTAAGTCTTTTAATGGGAGTGTTTAGCAGGCTTTTGGGAAATGCTTTATTGTTGCTGACGCTCTGCTTCTGCTTCTGCCTCCTCCTGGGCCTTCTCTTCTAAGTGCTGCTGATAAGAAAGTTGATAATCCAGGTAACTGAGGTTATTTTTTTGCTTCATCAAGAATTCTCTCAGGAAGTCGTTGACCTACAGAGAAAACAAAACAAAACAGGAAGGTCTTATATTAAGAAGCTTGGAATGGAAGATCTACTACCCAAATTATAGCCTGAAATTGGACCACCAGTATCTGGAACTTGTTAGATGCCAGATCTCTCAAGGCTGGAGCAATGTTACAGAAGATTGGATGCTTACTTTGCCTACTTGGGTTTGATGCTTGGTACCCCATATGATTCGCCATCCCCTCCAGGAAAGATCCCTGAGTACAGAGCCAGGAATAAGCACTGAGCAGTCAGGTGTGGCCCCACAGTGAACACAAACTAACAACAACAAAATCAACAAGAAATGCAGAATCTCAAGTCCTACTAGAGACCAAATAAATCAGAATCTCTTTTTAAGAAGGGTCAAGACCCTTGACAAGCATGTTGACTTTCATAAAGAGCACTGAGACATTCAGAAAAAAAAATCAAATGAATGCAAATATATCCTTTCAAAAAACATGAGTTTAGGGGCATTTTATCAAGAGTACAGATTAATTTAAGCAAATATCTACAATTGCAATGGTTTCCCATCTTGTTTATTCGGATTACAGAGGTTACAAGCAGACAGGCACATTTTGCCCCAAAGATTTAGAGTGAAATTAGCCTGGCATAAGACTCAGGCATTATAGACATCCTTTTTTTTTAAATCTAAGAACTATGATTTACAAAGTTATGATAGTTGAGTTTTAAGCACATAAGATTTCAACACCAATCCCACTACCAGTGTCAACTTTCCTCCACCAGTGTTCCCATATGCCCTCCCCATCCCAACCCATCCCTACCTGTCAGCTTCTTAGGCATGCTACAGAGTGTCAGTGGTTGTGACTTTGATCTCATCTTTTGAGTTTTGTTTGAGTCTGTGTTTTGGATATGTGTCTTTACCACCACTCACTCATATCACCAGTATAACTGAAGCCCTGATACCTGTTGATCCACTGCTTCTTTTTCTCTTCTACCTGACTTTTCTTCTCTGTTGGAGACTTTTTTTAAATTATGACTAGGGGATGGAGGAAATAGTATAGGGCTTAAGGTGCTATGGTCCCCATCAGTATCCCCAGGTGTAGCCCTGGAGGCCCACAACCCCTACTGGGTGCAGCAGACTAATATCCCCAGCAGCACAGGACCTTAATAGTTCCATATCCTCAGGCCTAGTATTGACCCACCATCTCTCTGGTTCAGAATCACCAGGACGGGAGTGGAGGTGCTGTCCTGAATGTCCTAAGTATCACTTGGGAAGCTGTGCCATGCCCCTCCATCATACTCTACCAAAGAAGAACTGCCATATGAGCCAGCTATTCCATGCTTGGCATCTACTCCAAGAGGGATCTACCCCAAAATATACATTTGAAAAGACTACATGCACCCCTGGGGGCTGGAGTGATAGCACAGCATTAGGGCGTTTGCCTTGCACGCAGCCAACATGGCTGACTAGAGTTCGATTCCTCCACCCATTTGGAGAGCCCGACAAACTACTTTGAGGAGGATCTCGCCCGCACGGCAGAGCCTGGCATGCTACCCGTGATGTATTCGATATGCCAAAAATGGTAACAACAAAGTCTCACAATGGAGACGTTACGGGGCCCACTCGAGAAAAATCAATGAACAATGGGAGGACCGTGACCGTGACATGTACCTCTATATACTTTGCAGCATTATTTATATTAAACCAAGATCTGGAAACAATACCCAAAGAAACTTGACTGGATAAAGTAACCACCACATACTTACACAGAGGAATAATTACTTATAAGTAAGGAAATCCTGTAGCATGTTGCAACTGGGTAGAATGGGAAATCCTGTAGTCTGCTGCAATTTGGAGGGGATTATGCTGAACGAAGTCAAAGGGAGGACAGATGATTTCACTCATACTCAGTATAAAGAAACACAGTAGGGAATAATCACCAATAATAACACATCCTGAGTCTGCAAAGTGTGTGGGGGGTGGGAGGTCATGGGGGACTGAGAGACAGGGGTCCTGAGTGTATTGAGACATTGTATTCCTGAAATATAACAGTCTTGTAAATCATGGTGCTTACATTTTAAACAATTAGGGTGAAAGACTTTGAGGTCTATACCACTTCAGGTTTTCTTGGTGAGTCTATATAGTTTTTGTTCTTGCTATTTCTTGTTATTTTCAAATAAAGTTTTATTATATTGAAGAGCAGATTTTTTGACTTTGAGAAGTCAGTGTTATTGGTGGCTGTGAAACTACCACCCCAACCAGTTCAGACTTCAGAAATATCTATAGATTAATAGGTGACCATGATCTTTTGCAGAGAGTTCAGGATGGTGGTTCTGAAAAAGTGTAAACCCTGACCAACAACAGACTTGGAACATCTTAGAAATGCAACTTCTTGGATATCACATAAAACCAACTGAGTCAGAAGCTCTAGGGGTGGGGCCCAGATGTTTGTTCAAATAGCGATTCTAATACTCATGAAACATTTTCTTGCACCCATGAAACATGAACATGGGTTCTAGTACCTACGAACATACAAGCTAGACATAAATAACAAGACACTAAGAACTCTTCTAGATATTTATGGTTTATAAACCAGCCCCTTCCAGCCCAGTCCCACTTCAAACCTAGGTGTAGGTCCTGGGAAGTTTCAGGCTGTGGTCAATTACATCCCTCATTCCCAGCAACTTCTCCTACCTCCAATCTACTTCCAGAAACAAGTTCTATACTTCCTTGGGGTCAGGGCTGGCGGTGGGGGGAGAGATAAAGCTCATGTTTTGAATCCATTCACCCAAACAAGGAATCCTGAAGTGAAAAGTCATCACTTTCACAAAGGTTAACCACTTACCCCAGCTTCACCGTTCCTTTCAGCCAGTGTGTTGAGGTCTTTGAGAAGCAAGTCTAGTTGCTTTTCAAGATCTAGAGCAGTCTTGATAGCTGCTTTGCCAGTTTCCCAGGTTTGTATATCGGGTCTCTATAGAAAAGAATAGGGGAGTCATTTTCCTACCTTAGGCGACTTCCTTTATAGGATTAACCAATGGTTTGCATAGGTTAACACTTTAACACCAAAGCACAATAGAAATCAGGAGAGAATCTTTTAACATAAAACTTTTAACTTTTTCTACGTTTCAACTGGTATAGATTTTAATTTGTCACTGGAAGCAATGAAATAGCTCTCAGGTGATATGAAGTATAGAGATCATTAACACAGCTATATGCAGCTTCTCTTAGTTTAGGAATTTTAAGGTGGTATGGTACTCTATATAAACTTAAAATGTGCAACACACACAAAACAGTATTTATATGTAATATCTAACTGGTGGATTTTTTCATAATTTAAACAGATGAAACATTTTTTCTCTTTTGCATGTACATACCTTTAGTGTATAAGAACCTTCTCAGATAAGTAGGATGTCTTTGGAAGTAATCCCAGACTAATTCAGACAGTTTCTATTCAGATAGTGTTTTGGAGCAATAGCACAGTGGGTAGGGCATTTCCTTGACTGGGTTTTAATTCCTCCACTCCTCTCAGAGAGCTCGGCAAGCTACTGAGACTATCTCGCCCATACGGCAAAGCCTGGAAAGCTACCTGTAATGCATTTGATATGCCAAGCACAGTAACAACAAGTCTCACAATGGAGACATTACTGGGTCCCAAATCGAATCGATGAATAATCAGAGGACAGGGCTACAGTGCTACAGAATTTCAAATAAAGTTTTATTATATTGAAAAGCAGATTTTTTTTTTGGTGGGGGCATACCTGGTAGGTTCAAGAGACCATATGGGAATATGGGCTGCCATGGATCAAACCCGGTACACTGCTGCAAGGCAAATGCTTTCCCATTGTACTTTAAACTGGCTCCAAAGAACAGACATATTAAATATGTCTTTTTAGATTAGATTAGAGAACTAATAAAGGTTGCTAATAGCACTCAGAAGAAGGTATTAGGACAGCCAGGGTCACGGTCCTCCCGTTGCTCATTGATTTGCTCGAGCGGGCCCAGTAACGTCTCCATCATGAGACTTGTTACTGTGTTTTCATATCGAATACGTCATGGGTAGCTTGCCAGGCTCTGCTGTGCGGGCCAGATACTCTCGGTAGCTTGCTGGGCTCTCTGAGAGGGGTGGAGGAATTGAACTCGGGTCGGCCATGTTGACCGCTTGTAAGGCAAACACCCTACCTCTGTGCTATCACTCCAGCCAATTAGGACAGCACAGAGTACTAAAGTTATCTGGAGAGCTTGTTAAGATTCAGGACTCAGGCTGGAGAGATAATACCAGGGTAAATTGCTTTGAAGCCAAAACATTTTATTTGATCCCTAGCACTATGCAGCTCCACCAGAAACGAACCCTGAGCACAGAGTCCCTAAATGCCACCACATGGCACAATGTCTCCCTACTCTTCCAGTCTTCCCTCTCCAAGGAGATAAAGCTCCTTTAAAAAAAAGACAGGGCTTTTTCTCTTTAGGGAAAATATACTCCCTAGAGAATCTACTGCTCTTAGTCCTAGTGAGGTTGTTAATTTGCATGTCAAATGATTTCTCCAGTTGATACTAGTCCTGCTAGATTAGAGACCAAGGTTTGGTTCATTTGAAAATGACCAATCAAACATTCAATTATTAAAATTTAATCAAGTGGCATGAAGAAGCCACAAAGATGCATGCTTGCCCTCAAAGACTTTTATTCTAAACCCATGAAGGAAAAAAGAGAAGTAGTAATAACTTAGCTCTTTGGATTCAGTTAAGGCCCCTGAGAAATCAGCATAAAGTTACATAGTTACCTTAATCAATGGAAGGGAGATTTTAGCTCCACTAGATTTCAGGAATCTTATGAACTTCCTTGCATGTTCCTTCTTCACGTTAACTTGGTCTTCAAAAAATGGAATAAAATAAGGCACCTCTAGATCATCAGTGTAAACAAAGGCCTGGGACAGAGGTGAGAATGAGAAGAGACTGGAGTTAAGAAAAGTTGACTTTTAGGACTGGAAATCTCACACAAACTCATTTTGTTGTCTTTGTAATCCCCCTGAAGGTCTTCTTTGGCCAGTCAGGTGTCCGTGGTTGGTTCCTTGATTTGTAGAAGGCCCTGGCTACCTTATTGGATGTAGGCTCTTTCAAAGAGCTACCATCCACAGAGTATAACGCAGATTTTTACTCCTGGTTTATGACCCCTCTAAGAGTCAGATTTGTGGTTACATACTAGTACTTATGTTCAGTATGGTACAGAAACCTGCTGAAGTAACACTTAAAGTAAACCTGTTTTACCAACTCTCACAATCTATGTTAACACTAAATCACACACGAATATGAAATTACCCAGTCTACCATCAGTATTCAGTGTATAGTTTGTAACTAAACTATATATCATGCAGATAGTTTGAGCCTCCCTATCATAGACCGTAGTCTGCAATCACAGCTCTATATCATTAGATCACAGAGCAGCAGCAAAGTTCTAGCCACCGAGGTACTGCTTTACTTTGTATCAAATCACAAATAGGACCATAACAGTCATCCCCTAGGATACAGAAGACCTATTATCAGGTCCAGTAATGTAAGAATACATACTAACCATTGATAAATAGGCATCACTGATATTCAGCTGAAAAGATGTTATGTGATTGAGAGCAAGCCTGGACTCTTCAGATAAGAAGCTCCTTGAAGCCATGTCGGAATTAGGCACAACAAGGCACAAAGTATGGGGCTTCTGGAGTATTTATAGGCATAGGAGGCGTAGGACCAGCCCACTTCCTCAGCTGAAAACTAGATTCTAGATTCCATGCACCTGAAATAAACAGCTAATAATCGGCCAAAGAAGAATATTGTTTCTATAAGGAATAACTGTGACCAGAAAAAAGGAAAATACAGCAGTTAATTCTGCTAACATTTCCAGTCAATGTTCAGCATTCTCTCATTTTTCTCTCTCTGTAGTTTGAGAATGTTATTATGTTTTCTGAGTAGGGAAGTATTATCATGGTCAACGCATCTTTCATTCCCATTTCTTTATATTCTCACCCCCTTACAAGGTTAATTTCACATCTCAGTTTATTAGTGAAGTTTTTCCCAATGACCCCTGCTAAATATTCTTTTTACCATTTATAAATTCCACCACGTCTTGTTTTAAAATCAATTATGTTTGTTGAGATAATAATGGAATGTGCCCTGTACAGGTAAAGATTGAATTTTAGTCAGTCTCCCTAGATTCCCCAAGAGTACTAAGTAAGTACTGAGGAAAGAAAGAAAACGCATCGCAGGTCATGGATTTGCTATTAAATTCTAGGCTCAGTTTCTTGTCACCTGAAATCCAATACTGGAGAGACAAAGGTTGGTGCAAGAAAAGCAAATTTAACTGATGGTCTGAGCAGATGTTTGGGTGAACTTGTCTGCAAAAGTGTCTTACTCTCAGGTTGGAGTTGGGGTTCATAGGTTTAGTTGAGGAACTAAAAATGAGAAAGGGTACTGGGTCTTGTCTTCTTTCCAAGGAGTGTCTTGATAGTGGCAGTGGCTTGATATGGTAAAACCACCAGGCCTACAGCCACCAGTGCTGGGACGCCTCCAAGTGTCAGGACGAAACTCCAGACCTGTGTTAGGTATGTGTTTTACCACTAGAACCAGCACCTTGGCCCCTGCCAAACTGTTTTTTCTACAACTGAAGATAACATAGTTGTATACTCTCTGCCCTTGCAGTTTATATGATAGCCCTCAGGAATCAGATGTTTTGTTATTTTCCTTGGAGCCATGAGTGACTCTTACTTTTAAACTAAACATACAATGCACACAGACACTCTAAGTATTAGGAGGGGATGCCGTGGCCAAGGGGGAGTGAGAGATATAAGAAGGTTATAAGAAGGATGTACCTAGAAGACACGATGAACCTACTGATTGCTCACTAGCCAAACACACACAGGATATAGAGCTAAGAGGTTTCTCCAGACCACACACCACTCTGCTTGGGAAACTTCTGAATACTTCTTCAAACTGTCACCTAAAATTCCTTACTTGTCCAGCATACACCTTCTTTATTTGCCTGCCCAGTATATTACCTTTTTATTTTCCTCCTTTGAGGACAGATATTGGTAATTATTTTGGCATTCACAACAGAGTCTTTGGAAGAAAATAGGTGCAACATTTAGTACAAATACTTTTTAAATATTCAGTGTGTGCTTTTCCCCATAAACCTGGAAAATTCTTTGTTTGAGCTGAAACCATGTCTCATTGAATTGAAAAGGCATTTCACCAGAAATCTATCTTGATAAGAAGAGAGGGAGACTCCCTACAAGAATTCAAATATCCCAAACCTGGGGATATAGTACAGGAAGTTAGGAATTTGCCTTGCAAGCTACTGACCTAAGATCAACCCCCAACAACTCATATGGTTCCTGAGTCTTCCAGGAATAATCTTTGAGCATAGACCAGGAGCACCAGTGGATGTAGCCTGAGTAACACCAGGTGTGGCCCCCTAGCAAAAACAAATCAAATATCCCAAGTCTGATGTAGTCACAGAAATAAGACCATCAAAGCTAAGGGGTCTTTAGAAAAAGACTTCATATCTGTCAACTTCGTTTCCTGACCTCACATTGCCTGTGTCCCCAGTCAATTTCATACCCTAATTCCAAGGATGTGTCAAGACTTTTCAAATTATGATTTACATAGGAATCACCTGGGACATAAACTTCAGATTATCACTCAGGGGTTCTGCATTTTTAACAATTATGCTTAGGAATTAGTGTCATCATTAGGGCCACATTTTGAGTAGCAAGAATTTAAGTTCATGGCTGAAAGCTATTTCAATGAAAATTATGTAAGACAAGTGATATAAATACCACTGCTGGGAAAACCAACTACTAGGAAAGAAGAGGGCATTCTCTGCTGCTTCTCCATATCCAACAGTTCTGTATTGTTATGGCTGAGCTCTCAGGGCTCACAGGCCAGCATCCTGGAGGTGGAAGTTCCAGGATATTTGGTAATATTTAGACAATGGGCTTAGAGCAAGTGAAGAAGAAATTAGCATGATGGCTAACTATATGTTTAATTGGTTTTGTTTATAGTAGATCAATACTTACATAAATTCTCAGATGAATTTGTAAAACTTCAAATTTTTTCATTTATTTTTAAATTATTGTTAGGGAATTTATATTTTTTGGATTTTTTTGTTTTTGTTTTGCTTAGGGGTCATACTTGGTGGTACTCAGGACTTATTCCTGGTTCTGCACGCATGCATCACACCTGGTGAACTCGAGGGACCAGGTAGGATGCTGGAATATGTGCAAGGACAATGTCTTAACTGCTTTACTATTGCAAAGAGCTAAGGACCAGTGCCAACTGGGGACAAGTTTCTTAATTAGAAAACTTTTACAAAAGCACCTCAACTAACGGTAAGTATGATTTTTACCCTGAGGAATCTCCCCTCTCGTTTCTGTTACTATACCAGCTGCCTCTCATGTCATTCTCAACAGATTAGAGAAACAGTAGGGGGTAAGTCAATCGTGTGTGTGTGTGTGTGTGTGTGTGTGTGTGTGTGTGTGTTTGTAACCAGTTCTTTCTATATAGATGTGGAAAGTCACATTGGGGTAGATAACCAAGAAATTTCCTACCCCTTCATCTAGCCCTTTTTATGACTTCGGGAAATACTGCAAGCACTCTCTCTGGAATGGAAATCATTGTGCAATATTATTCAGATACATGAATTCATCTGTCTGAGTGATGTCACTTCCGTCTGTTGTTTCTTCAGAAAGAAAGTGTGCTGTGAAAACTCTGAAATTACGAAATTCTGTACTGTGAAATTCAGCTCTAGAATGTATTCCCTCATCTGTGAGAACTCTGTAGTCAGGTTAGTGTCTGAAAAGAAAAACCACCTATTCAGATTTTATTTAATTAGTGAATAAAACAAATACGCTGAATCTTAGAACAAAGTCACGTGGATACCCCATCACACACCTCAGAAACCAGCTGCATACTTCATTCATGGGCCATGCTTTGTTTGTGCTTGTTGTGTACGATTTTCTGAACCTGGTGATTTTCTGTGGAGCTTTTTATTTTCATGTTTTTCTAACATTTTGTTTTGTTGCATTTAGTTTCTGATTTTCCCCATTATTTTTGAAAAGAAAAGCAAAAAGTAGCAAATATTACTAGGCCTGATATAACAATTTACTACAATAAAGCCAATTGAAGTGACAACTTTGACATCTATCCAGGAAGGACTGGTCTCAGGGTAGGAGGCAAACAAACACACAAGGACTGTCCAACCTTTGTGCACACCAGGGCAGGCAGGGAGTTTGTAATCCTGAGTTGAATTCCAGGGCAGGAGTATGTGTGTTTTGAGAATTGAACTGTGGGGTTTATGAGATAGTACAGAAATGAAATTACCTGCTTTGTAGACATCAGGCCCCTGCTCGGTCCCTGGCTCTGTCTCCTGAGCACATAAAAAGAAGTAGGCCTAGAGCACTGTTGATATGTCTGACTGCCCCCAAATTAGTCTCCCCTGAAAACGAAAAAAAATTAAACAGTGGTGATATAATGAAAACATATCATTTCATTTGGTTTGGTTTATATTCGCTTGTCCTGTTGGCTGGCCAGAGACATTTGCCTCTTTTTTTGTTTTTTACTTTTTGGGGTCACACCCAGTGATGCTCAGGGGTTACTCCTGGCTCTGCACTCAGGAATCACTCCTGGCATTGCCAGGGGGACCATATGGAATGCTGGGAATCGAACTTGGGTCGGCCACATTCAAGGCAAATGCCCTATCCGCTGTGCTATTGCTCCAGCCCCTGCTCTCTGTTCTTTAGTTTGCTTTATCCTGTCGGAGAGAATTGCTGATTATGATTGCACTGTCCATTTGCCTCTGCCTTTGCCATGGTCTTCTTTCTTTTTTCTCTTTCCATCCTTATTATCCCTTTCCTTTAAAAAAAGTTAAATAAAATTTGGGGGGTGGCTTGGGGGGCAGTCACACTGTTTTCCTCCTGGCTCTGTGCTCAGGGATCACACCTGATAGTGTTTGGGGAATCCTATGTGTGCTGTGGATTGAACCCAGGGCGACTGCATTTAAGGTAAACACCTTACCCATTGAACTATCTCTCTGGCCCTTATTTTTGCTCTTTAACTGATATAATCTATTAATCTGCAGTCACTGCTAAGACCTGTTTAACGTCTTCATAAGAAAAAGGTTGTCGATGGAGGCTATGGGCCAGGTCTATTGCAGGAAGACCAAATATATAGATAGATAACATTTATGCATATATTATGTATTTATGTCTCAGAATTTTCTATTGGAATTTTTGGGTAAAATTAGAAACTTTATAGCTTATAAAACTGAAGTTAATCTAACATTAAATATTATGTGTGACTACTTGTAAGTACTAGCAATGTCGAGGCAATGGTGAAAATCCTGATAAGGAATTATTAAGAAGAAAGCATCAGAGTAGTCTGATGAAGAAATATGCCAAACATAATGTCAGAGTAAGCTCATTATAACTGCTATTGCCAATTGAATAACTACTTATGGGTAACTAAAAGTGAAGCCTTTAAATATAGCAAAAATTCTACAAAACAGAGAAGAATAGGCATTACAGTTCTGCTGTCACTTTGCTCCTTTGTGAATTTAGTTTTTTTGTGCGTTTCATTTTGCTCAATAGTACATATTTGGGGGAGAAGCCCACACCCTCATTGCTCAGAGGTCACCCCCAGGGGTGCTCAGGGGACCCTGTGGTGCTAGAAATCATGAGGCCCTAAGCCTCCTGGCCGCAGAGTGTACACACGAGCTCCTTGAACCAGCACCTGAGCCCAGCAATGTTGAATTAATGTTATTATGGATGCAGGCATGGAATCAGATAGACCTAAACTCAAATTCCCCATTCTGAAATATACCAGCAGAAATATTGGGTAAGTTTTAATCTCTTTGAGTTTCAGTTTCCTAATTCATGATACTGGAATGATAATCACGCTTTGCAGGATTGTTCTAAGGCTCAGAGATGCTTGTTAAAGCCTCTGGTATATAAATATAATGATTATAACAAGCAGGTAGTCTCTAAATAAAAGTTTTTCTGCTTGTTGCAAGTGATTAAAATTATGTATTTTTTTTGCCTGAACTATTGTGTAAAACTTCCAAAAATTATTACTACAGCACAAAAGTTTAAGGAAACATTTCGGCTCTAGTGACAGTTACAAAACCTGCTTTAATGCATGATATAAATAAAAGGTAAAGGTAAAGCCCTCCCGTTGATCGTCGATTTGCTCGAGCGGGCCCAGTAACGTCTCCATTGGAGACTTTGTTGTTACTGTGTCTGGCATATCCAATACTCTCGGTAGCTTGCCAGGCTCTCCGAGAGGGGCGGAGGAATCGAACTCGGGTCGTGTGATGATAATAAATAATGTAAGTAAATTATCCAAAAGAAAGAAATAAGGGGGCATATACCTAGGAAAAAGGGTAAGTGTTGGTGCATATCCTCCCTTTTATTTTTTAAATTTAATTTTCTTTTTATAAAGTTATTCACAATAACTTATTACATTGAATATTCCAACACCAACCCCACCACCATTACATTTTTCCACCACCATTATTTTCAATTTTCCCACCACCACCCAAGACTCCTAAGAGCAGGCCCTAAATGATTTATTTTTCATTGCTTGTTATATATAATCCGCTAAAAATGACTAAAAAGTTTCCTTAGAATAAGGTGTGTGATGATTGTTGTATCTTACCCTGGAGCCATTAAGCTCTTGTTTAAGAGATTACTAACATGTTGTTACAGGTTGGGCCTTGCATGCTAATATTTTTCTTTATTTTTTAAAATTTTTATTAGTGAAACACCATGAGGTACAGTTGTAGACTTACAAATTTTTCTGCTTGGGTTTCAATTATACAATGCTCAAACACCCATCCCTCCACCAGTGACCATTTTTCACCACCACTGGTCACAGTATCCCTCCCACTCCCCATCCCCCCACGCCACCCTACCTCTGTGGCAGGGCATTCCTTTCTTGTTCTTTCTCTCCTTTTGGGTGTTGTGGTTTGCAAAAGAGGCATTGAGTGGCAATCATGTTTGGTCTATAGTCTACTTTTAGCATGCATCTCCCATCCTGGGAGGATCCTCCCAACACCCTTTATTTGGTGCTCCCTTCTCTATCTCAGCTCCCTTTTCCCTTAGCATGTGCGGCGGGCCTCCAAGCCATGGAGTGAATCTCCTGGTGCTTATCTCAGCTATTCTTGGATATTAGTCTCCTATTTTGTTACTTTATGTTACCCAGATGAATACAGTCTTTCTATGTCTATCCCTCTTTTTCTGAGTCATTTCGCTAAACATGATACTTTCCATGTAGTACCACTTGTATGTAAATTTCATGACTTCATCTTTTCTAACAGCTACATAGTACTCCATTGTGTAAATGTACCAAAGTTTCTTTAACCAGTCATCTGTTCTCGGGCACTCAGGTTTTTTCCAGATTCTGGCTATTGTAAAGAGTGCTGCAATGAACAAACAAGTGCAGATGTCACTTCGACCATACTTATTTGCCTCTCTAGGATATATTCCCAGGAGTGGTATTGCTGGATCAAATGGGAGCTCAATTTCTAATTTTTGGAGAATCATCCATACTGTTTTCCAGAAGGACTGAACCAGTAGGCATTCCCACCAGCAGTGAAGGAGGGTCCCTTTCTCTCCACATCCGCGCCAACACCAGTTGCTTTGGTTCTTTTGGACGTGGGCCAATCTCTATGGTGCGCAATGATATCTCATTGTTGTTTTGATCTGCATCTCCCTGATGATTAATGATGTAGGGCATTTTCTCATGTGCATGCTAATATTTTTTGTTAGAGATCAGTTGCCTTCTACTTTATTCCCAATCCAATGTGGTGTGCTATTCCTGGAACATCAGTGATGTAGAGTATGGGATGTCACTTCAGAAATTCTAAAATATTAAATAGGGTGATATAGCTGGAATTAAATTTTTAACTGGATGGTGACTATGGACTGTGGGAGGCGTCTCTTCAGCTTGCTGATATCTTCCAAGATTTATTTGTAAGTCTCTGGATCATGGCTGATTAATGAACTAATCTGCGCCACAGGCAATCCATGAGCTTTACTGCCAGGCTCCTGGAAGAACAGGGAAATGGGGGGAGGTCACCCATCCTGGACTCTGTGAAAGCCTGGAGATTTCAGTCACAAAACCTGCATATCTGGCGTTTTCAACAGATTTATTCCTGGATGAGGCTCATTCCAAGCCTGTGGAGACTGGCGTGAGCATGCTGGCGAATGGCATGCCCTCCCTTTTCCTTATTGGCAGATCATAACTCCTATAACCTAGGCTGAAATGGTTTTCTCCGTAATAGAAAGTGGTCCTTGGCAGAAACCCCGTTTTGGAGACTCGATATTATAAGATATGTGTGTGATGCCCAGAATGTGCAGTCATCCTGCAGGAGTGAAGGGAGGAAACCAATGCATATGGAAGGTGGATGAGAATCCTGCTGACTGTTGGAATGACAGAACTTCTTGGACAACTCTGCAAACATTTTCCTCTGTATAGCTTGCTTGTAAAGTAACCAAACTTGATTTTTAAGTCACTTTTAGCATGGCATTCTGTTACGTGAAGCTAATGAAAGGACACTCATTGGGGAAAATGTAAACATTTTGCTTTTTAATTAACATTGTTTCATTTTCTAACTCCTTAAATTGGGAAAAGGAATTGGATCTGAAATAGAAATCTATTAAATCTTAGCATCATAAATTATTAGTGTAATCTGACCTTAATTAAAGAGGATGGTTTCCAAGAGCTTCTTCTCTTTATACACTGCAAATCCCCTCCAATTAATTTTGTCTGTGTGGCAATACAGTGATGGTTACCATACAAAGCAGGAAAATTTGTGCAACTTTGATGATCTTGATTTTGACCAAATGATTAGTGTATATTACACAAAAATTACACAATAAAAATGAATAGCACTCACTAACTTAACATTTGTGCATAGCACTGAAAAGAGGTATCAGAAGACCAGAAGTTGTTTACTACCCAGAGTGACTACAGAGAATGAAATCCAGGACTTCGAAACAAGCCTGCAAGCAAGTTAAAGTTTTGGTTTGCTCTGTTTGGGTTTTCTATCAGTTTAGATTTCTGATTTCCCTTTCCCCCACTCCTGAAATATTATGGAAACAAAGTCTTAAGATATTTTATCTCTCTAAAGTTGATGGGTAAGGTAAAATTTTGTGTAAAATATTTTATTGACAATGGATTTTGGAATACAAATATTAAACTGAGACAACTTAAAGGGAAAAATAATGTAAAAGTATCTTGATTAGCCTTAGGGAACTTTTTAAGCTTTAACTTTTTAAGACCTCGGGCATGCCTTAACAAAGATTATGGCCTTTTGCAATAATACCAAAGATGCCTCTACGGTTACATG